GAAGGCGTGAGAGGGAAGGTGTGATCGGACAACGACGACGGCGGCGACGGCGATGACGACGGGGTGTAACCGGTCCTGCCTTGCTCGTTACCTTGTATGGATCAACCGCGCGCGCCGTCGTCGTCCCGGAGAGGAGAGAATAAAAAAAAAAAAAAGAGGAAAGGTCGCACGTACACGTACAGGATCGCGCGCTCGGCCCGCGCACGCGTGCGGTTTCGTCGCGTGATAACGCGATCTCGTCGGCATCGATCCGCGGTTTTTTTTATCGTAATTATTATATGACCGGCACGATTCCCCGTCCCTCCCCCCTCACCCCGCCCTCTTCCGGCCGAGATCGCCGCGTATATCTGTCTTCTTCCTGGTCGCGCGTGCAATGCGGCCGCATCCGACATGCATGCGCGTCGATCATCCTCGCTACTTCCGCGGAAATGTGCTTCCCGCACAGTGGGATGCCCTTAATCGATCCTACAGTCAATTAACGGTTTCAGAACACGGAGGATCACGATTGCGGGGACCTTCTCCGTATATAAGATGCGTGATGAGAAATACCTATGTAGCTGAGAAATAGCGGCGTGCGCATGCATCTAGCAGGTTGTGTGCTACGAATCGTAGGGCGATTAATTATTATTGTTGGTTTTAAATTATATTTACAATGTTTTGTAAAATCTTGTTTTTTTTTTTATTTGATTTATTACCATATTTAGACGAGACGGAAAGATCGAGTGCAGCGATGCGTCAGAGGCTTGACGCAAGTCGAAAAGCCTTTCGTCTTCTTCTTGTGCCGTGAGAGATTGCATAATATCCGACTGAAGAACAATATCCACGTGGATATACGCTCGGCTTAATGCCCCATGTCTATTGTCCTTCGTTGGCTTTGCCATTAAGCGGCGAGTGCGCGAGCGTAAACGCCGAGTGACATCACGTCCACTTTAAAATCAGATATCCGAGCGCACGCGGGCGCTGGGAGAGGAAAAAGTAAACGCTGGCGTCATTTACGCGACCGCGGTGCCGCGATAATTAGCGATCGATCTGTATCAAGCGAATAATTTAATGCCACTTCAATCACGCGACGTTATTTACAGCGGGAGCGACTATCTCGCGATGAAGAACATCGTCATATGTTATGGGAAGTACGTGACATCATCGCGCGTTTAAAGAAACTTTGATTCTCTAATTGAGATTAAAGACATGCGATATGAGATTCTCACATTAGAATAAATATAATCGAGCTAGTTTAATTAATTTTAATAAAAATCTCGGCTGCCAATAACTCTAACAACATCTTTAATGTATAATAACGTAATGTATAATAATAACAACATCTTCTTACTCCCTTTTTTACGATAAATTCAGAACTAGTAAAAATTCTATAAGCCAAAGAAAGAGAATGATGAAGAAGAAAGTATCAGAGAAAAGTCAAAGCTAACTCAATAATATTTCAACATTTAACGCTTTCAATAAAAGAGCAATAGGCCTTCTATTCAATCTAATTCAGATTTGCTGAAGCTATAATGATTACGTAACGTGCTGCTTTATGCATCTCGCGCAAAATATTAACTTGAGTTCGCAGAATATGCACACAGGATGACGATTGTTTGCATAAATGTACCTTATTAATGTCTTTTTCTACGTCTGCAATTATGACATCAAGTTTTTTCACACGCGTAGACAAGACGTTTCAATTAATTTGCTTTCTCATGGTTATTTTGTTTATTGCGTTTATTACATTGCTATAAATGCAACGAATAATCTGACATGAAATAAAGTCACCTTAGTAGTTATTTTCGATACGAATTGTACAATCTGTACAATTAGGTCCATTAATGAATGAGAGGCCAGCTCGAATTGTACGTTCGTTTAGATATGGACGTTAAATACGTTGTTAAAGACAGGCTCTTAATTTTAATTAAACTTCATCCGATCACGATTGTGCGAATTTCAAGGCCCAAGTTGTTAACAAGCCGGGCTCTGTTACTCCTACGGCTAACCTTCAGCCTCTAATGTCCTAGTCGATCGCGTGCCGCGCCGGCACGCGTGCTCGTGAACACCGAATTCGCACCTAGTAACAGTAGACGAGCCCGCGCGATGACATTCCGTATACGCGTGTTACAGCGCGGGGGTGAGCGTGAGTCATGGATATCGACCTTGATGGGTGGTGGGTGCGTTTCCATACCTTCCACCGGCGGCTCCGCGGAATTTCCGTGAGCCAAGGAGCCACACGCGTGAAGCGCACCTCGCGGTGAAGCGATCGGCGAGCGAGGGGGGTTGTTGCACGCAGCTACCCCCTGAGTCAGAGGCAGCGCGACCGTTGAGTCACCGTTAAAACGATCGATATCTATCTATATATATACGCGCGAGAGCGCGGGTCGCGTGCGGTTTCCATTTCTACGGATGATACCAAAGCGGCCAACCAATTATACGATCCGTAACGATTACCTCTATTTTCTTGCATGCGTCAAGAACGAAGAAGACATTCAGCTGAGAAGTAAATTTTAGAGAAATAACGAGGGTAGTTTTAGAAAATTCTATAATTCGATAATTAAGGAAAGTTAATTAATACGACTGAATATTAAAGTTGTGAAAATTATAGATATGAAATAAATGTCAATGCTTTTACGGATCTCTTCGATGAGTTTTAATAGAACTATGTTTATATAAATAAAATTATAGTGCGATTGGCGACGGGGAGGAACCCAGACAGGCCAGACCTTGCCTCGCCTGGTGTTTTATTGATCCTAAGAAGGTGAACGACAATTGATACGCCTAAATGCTTCCGCAGGCGTATGCCCCCGTCCATTCGTCACTGACGTAATCAAATGGTCGAGAGTTAAATTAGGAAATGTGTTATTACATGCCAAAATATTAGGTCGCCAGTGGATCCGTGAGTAACGTTAACGGAATGCGCATTCACGATATCGCAAGCTTGATCATTATAAATCATTACAAATCACAAATACATATAAAAGTCGTTTGTATATCAGACGGTTTCTTTTCGTGCTACAGGAAGAGATAAGTATAACGGAATGTTTTTTTTATCTGTCACGTATGACGGGTTACAAAAAAAAAACACAATGACAGTCCACGGCGAAATCGCCGCGACTCGCCGCTGCTGCGTTTCTGGAGACCCCAGATCTCGTTCATATCCAGGCCAAGATTTTGACATACGGCCACTTTCTCGTGGGATCGAACGATATACGCGGGATTCGAAAACAAACGACAACGTCCACGTGCTCACCGTAAATGGCTTCGTTTTCCATTGCGGAGGTCGCCGGCATGTATACATCGCGACGAAGGAGGACGAAGTCGATAAGTCGCTCGACATCCGACTCGGAGGCAGGATTACATCTATCGCCCTTGGAACGAAAGAGAGTGCGCTCACGGATTCTTATTAGTCTGAATTTTTAATAAAAAAAAAGAAAGACAAAGCAAAAAAGAGAAGGACGTCGCATTTAGGGACAAGCCTATCTAAAATTTAATTTATATTCTATATATACTCTATAAATTGAATTATGTTACTGACACGCATAAGCGATAATACACGTGTAAATATCTTCAATTTATAACGCAGTCCATCATTTCATTATATAATTTACAGGTTAAAATTAACCTCTTCATTATTTCTTGCTTTATTTTATTTCTTGTTGTAATTTATCGCTTGGATGACTTAATGTCGGCAGTAACTATTAGTCGGTATTCACAGTACGTTCTTATTTTAAGACCGTCTTAAGTAATGTCTTAAGACGATAATACGGCTCTGTGATTGGCTCGTGACGTCTTAAGACTGCACTCGAGACGGTCTTGAATATAATAAGAGCCGACTATGAATATATATGCGCCTATGTGTTACGACGATCGTTATTCGATAGCTATAACATTACATAACGCCGTCGCGTCAGTATCACATTTCGATGCCATTTAAAGGCAATAAAGGTACCCCACTTAATGAAGAAAGGATCGAGAGCCGAGGAGTTACGCGCGCCGAGAGCACTCGCCTAAAACGAGATATGTGGGACGTACAAGGAGATCTCGTTAGTCGCTTTTGTATACTGCCACGTCGGCAGAATGCATCATGCGCTGCACGGGACAATCCAAATTCAGAATTATCCGATGTCGAGGCATCCGTTACGTTGACGAGCGCTATAAGAATTAATTTAGAAGTTAGATTAAGTCACAAAAGTATAACTTTCAACGTATCCATGGCCACGTAACATACAAAATTATTTAACCATTTATTACTGTCATTGCAGCAACTACTTGAACTGTTATTGTAAACTATATTTGTCTGCTGATTAATTATTAGAAATTACGAAGCACACCAAAATCGGTATTTGTGACTCAATTGCCATGCCCACGTGCGAGCTCGAGTATCTCGGGGTGACCCGAAATCTGCAGGATAAAACTGATCAATTTATTGTTGTACGCTCGAGGCTTAGCGTGCTTTCGTACGGTACTCGAGAGAAACGGGACGGCTCGGTTTGTTTTATCGTTATGGTCCTGGAGATTAAGGACCGTTTTCGTAAGGCGCACCCGCGGATTCTGGTGCTTCTTTTCTCTTCCACTTCACGAGAGAGAGGAGAGGAGGAGGAAGCGAGGGAGAAAGAGGGACGGAGAGGTTTGCTTGATCGAAGAGCGAGAAACCGTACTTTGTCCATATTTGGCTACACCCGCATGCAATTTATATTCCGCGTCTTTTTATTGCTTTCTCTCGATCGCCCGTATACCTATATGCTCTCCGCACTGTTGCGTCGGCGAGCGTGTCTGCGTGTTTATATATATACCGTCTCCCGTGAATTTTTTATCACGCCGATAACGTAACTTCGCTGTTTTTCAAGAATGTCGCATAATCCGAGCGTCCTCGCAACGCAGAGATTGCAGAGACGCTGTATAGCATCTCCTTTACAGGAAGGAAAACGTCTTTTAGAAATAAACTATTGTTCTTGTTTAAAAAATCGATAATATTGGAAATGGAATAAAAGAATATAGATTTTTTCTGTAGATTATTAATGACAACAGCGATGCACATAAATGCATTTAATGTATAGTTGTTACAGTTGATCGAAATACATGTATTCTTCTGCCTCATTCTACGTTATTCTAGTGAAATTTTAAGCGAGGGATGTTCATACAAAGAATTACAATGCAAAGAATTCAGACGCACGATATATCCCTGGGGAACATGACTTCGTGATATCTCAATGAATATGTAAGTAAATGTTGAAATTAAAAAATGCAAAATCATTCCCTTTTGCCTACTCTACATAATTAGAATATGCGAATGCACTCACGGTGATACAATTTTTTTCATATTTTGCAACTACTCGCGCCTTCTCTTGATTACGAAAGTCGAGGATGTCTCCAAAAATTTGACTGCTCAAAAATTCGCAGTTTCTAATAAAATTGAAAAGTTTGGCCCAAAAAACGTAATGCATTTCTGTAAATGAAGAGATTTTAGAGTTTATATTTCAAAGTAGATTTAAAAATTTGTGTAGATTTTAATAATTTCGTGTTTAAAATTGATTTCACACAAATTGTACGTTTATTCATCTCTCCGTTTTCATTGTGTGACATTCAAATAATGTTTTCTATACAAATCACGCGTACTTTATTTCTAATCAATTCCCTTGAAATGGAAGGAAATGAGAGAAATTAAATTTCGGACTATCTGTTGATCGAAATGGGTCGGCACGAAAAGCCTACGATCCACGGCCGGGCTTCTATTTAGGTAATGGTACGCGTTATCTCCGGTTTCGATACTGGGTTACGAGACCCCTATATAGAGCATCATTTGGGGTCGCATGTTGCTGTTTGGTCAATCCCTGTTCAATATACGGCCGCGTTCGATCGTCAGGCAAGTCGAACGACGAAAAAGCGTCATGCGCGCCTCGGCCCTCTTTGGATATAAAGACGCTTGTATAATAAGTGGCACAAGACCGCTTTCTATCTATGTGCGAAGGATTTCTCGGTACATATCTCGAATGCGGCATGCACGCTGTAAGCGCCAGCAGGCGATCCGCAGATTGATTACGACTTCTGGTCTAATATGAAATAGACCAGAACACACGCGTTAAGTTGTAGAAAACACGTTTTTTTTTGGTAACTTCGATATGATAACGACAGATAAAATTATATGTATTGACTAATTATATGTAATATATTAATATTAATGATGATTTAAATATGTGCAAATTATCGCTGTTATAATGTATTAAAATTAAATTGATGCTCTATTATTCTGTAAAAACATATGTAATTATCATAGATATCTTCGACATTATTTTCTCGTTGTTGATGTCATCGGTATATCCAGCTAAAATTAAATGCATCATTCTAAACAGCGGTGCACTTTGCGCTTCGAGAGCGTACAAGATTATTAAGATTCAAGATTAAATGTCGCACGTATCAAACAATTTTACGCAGTTAATATACGCAGCATGTATCTAAAGCGAATAATAGCTTTGCCTGCGACGTTATGCAATAACTGGATCATTTATTATGATGCAGCATTAGCCGTACGCGGAAATTTAAGCAGCCGCAATTTGTTATTCGATGTTATTTCAATGTTTCGTATTATACTATGTAAATATTTGCAAATTCAGGTCTTTAGGTATATTCGAACCATTTTTAATCGATAGGCAGATATTATTCAGGTATTACTCAGGACGTATGTCTGATATAAACCCGGTTTGTAATGACGGCTCGGAATTCTTATCATTCCCACTTTCATTCGCTCACATTTGACTAAACATAATTTATTGTTAGTTAGGATGTTAACTCATTAAATCATCGAATCTGAAAGATGATAAAGGCTCTGCGATAAAATAAAGCAAATGACGAAGCGAAGGGTGCATTATCATTTTATATTATAAAACCGTGAATGTGATAAAATAACACGCGATACAATAATAAAATGCCATTATACGTGACATCACCACCACAGATGTAACATATAATGTATGATCTTTATAGTATTGAACTATCATGCATTTTCGATTGGCCAACAAGGAACTTCGTGACCAAATTATTGAACTTCTCAGGATATCTTAAGTGAAGAGTATGTGCGCCCTCTTCGAATACATACAGTCTGTAATAAAATGGAGATTAATAGAAAGATATTGTAAATTTTATCTGGGTTTTTCCACCTAAAACATGTAAAAATGTCTGTAAAGATACGAACGTCGAGTCGGGGATATTTTGCTTTAGATACATCGGATGCTCCAGCATGACTACCGGGTCTCTGGCTCCGTGAATGATTAAAGTCGGACATTTTATCTTCGGTAAGGCCTGTTTGCACAGATTGCCGTTTCGCGTTTTGTACAATCTCAGCGCAGTGTCCGTCCAATCCGACCACATCTTTTGGAAATAATCCTTACCGTAGACTTCCATCAACGGTGCCCTCATGTTTTCCGACCAGTTGTTGATGTCCCTGAGGCCTGAACAGTAATATTTCACGAGGTTTTACGCGATCGAAAGAAATAAAATATTTTAATGCGCTTTCGATAACACGACGGAGAAATGTCGCGTCGGTATTTGTAAAATTTAGCTATTTTTAAGATATTTAGAAATTTTAGCGATCTTCTACGAATCCATCGAATTTACGGATTCCCACAACTTTTCACATCTTGATATCTGTTATAAAATAATGAGATTTCGACAACTTGCATTGTTAAACGCTAGAAAAGGCTTCATCTTTAGCTCTACGACATCGCGAGCGGGGTGAAGTCATACTTTCGTATATTTTCGTCTCGTCCTGGGTTATGTACGAGTGCGCGCCAGTGACAACCAGTTTGTGGACGCTCTCGGGATACGCCGAGGCGAGAACAAGCGACGTGATGCCGCCGTTGCTCCAGCCGATCATAGAGAATTTCGAGTAGCCGAGAATCTTCATCAGAGTGTAGGCATACGTGGCGTCGCGCTGATAGAAATCATCCGGGAACGTTCTGTCGGGCGGCCGCGACTTTCCGTAGCCGGGTGGTTCCCACGCCACTAACGTCAGCTTGTCCACATTCAGATTTTCCAGCTGCGGCTTAAAACTGGTCCGTATAGTTCCTGAAACATCCATTTTGCTGGACTATATGAATTTCCCGTTCCCGGTGAAAAAAATTGTTAGTGGCGCGCTAGCAGTTCGTCAGCAAGTTCGAATATTGAAGCAGATTGGCGTCAATTGCGTCTGCATTAAGCTCGTGTTCTGTCAGTATAATGTGGCAGCAGAAACCGAGCGGTTTCCGCAATCAATCTATCATCATATTCTGTCAGCAAGCTCTGTAGCATTTCTACTGGCATTCTACCGATAGAATTTCTGTAGCAAGCACTTTGCAAAATCTGTTTGACATCGGTTTAGCCATCTGGGATCTTTTCTCCAAACAAATTAACATTTATATTAATTTAAGATTTTAAAAATTTAACAAATGCAAACTGCAACTTCCTTAAAATTAGAAATAATCGCAAGGGATAAAAAAACAGTTATATATTGCAATAAAGAACGGTAGAAGTGACAATTACAATCTTGTTCTAAAAATTTGATTTTTTTATTATCAAAATCATAATGAGATGGATGGACGCTATTATAGATATATCTTGTTTTTCATCCAACAATGAACGTTTAAATAGAATATCCATCCAGATTTACAGTAGATGGTAAATGCTGATAAAGTCAATGCGCGAAACTGTTTAAATTTTGCGTTATAATATAATAGCGCCAGCTGCAGGATGTAATTTAGTAGTAGCTTTAAATAATCATAATAATAATCTGATAAACGAAGTTAGTTAATAAGTTCGAAAATGCTGACACCTCAAAGCCGTAGCGGCTGTGAACCATTCTATAGCGTTGTATATATATCATACTTTTAAATGGTTATACCCAATAAAGTGATTTTTCATTTATATATGTGTAAAACTGTTATTTAATTATATCTTTATATCTCTAATAAATAAAAAAAATTATTTCATAAATCGGCTTACCCAAGGCGCCAGGCAACAGCAAAACTGGATGGTCACCCGTGCCAACACTACCATAATTAATTTCCATGTCGTTCACTTTGATCTTTCGTTCCTGTTAACAGGAATGCACTCTGCTTAATAAGATAATCGAGGAATGATCCGTGAAATGATCGATGAGAAAACGGCAGGATTCTATACATTATTTACGTTTAGCGCCTATACATACTTTTATCTCACGGGCTTTACTCGCCGTAGTTGATATTTGTCGGGTCCGCACGATTCGGCTCTTGGATTTTGCGACGTTATGCAATGTAAAACGAGCATACATCTTTCACGTGTTGCGTATATACACGTTAGTTTGCGACCAATTGAAACTTGCGAACCGATCGTGGTGCACTGCAGACGGCGCATATCGGCATCGTTATATCGTCGAATTTAGATATATGCAATTTAAAAATGCACATGCCTCACAAATATTGGCCACTTTCGAGGAGACGCTCTATCCTCGTTTTACGTCTAACGAATGAAAGAACGACTCAAATAGCACTAATAGCACCTCCTTGAACGTACAAATTATGATAATGCAGTAAGTTACACGTGGCAAAGTACTTATTCTTTTCTTCAGTTTATACATATACTGCAGCTGAAAATGTTGAACTTGTCAATACATCGTGAAACAAGAAATAAATATTTATTTTTTTTATTTCACATTTATCTATCACCAGCTTGCATTGCCTTTATTTTAGTCCGATAAAGCACGATTACTTGTAAATAGTGCGATTAAGTTATACCAATTTAAATTATAATTTCAATAATTATTTAAAGTTTTTAAATATCATTTAAAGTAATTATTTCAAAATTTTAATAATTATTAAAATTAGTTCATTTTGAAATAAGTCGTTTGACTATTTTTATTTAAATTGTTATCTTATGCATAATGTAGAAGAAATAAAGAAAAAGTGAAAATACGATGATACGATTAATGTGTATATCCTGTGCATTTAAATGTGCATTTAAAAGTACTGTAAAACTCATTAATGATACAAAATGTTTGTCTTGTAATTTCTCCACATTCATTCCTATAGATTAAATTAACAAAAATTCTCAAAATCGCACATTTTTGGAATTTTAAGTTTAGAAATTCCAACACGAAAATCTAAATTTACAACAATTGAGAAAGCAGAGCATAATATTCAGGAGAACATAATAAACAAAAATATTGCAAAAATATTTACATAATCAAATAATAATCTGACAACAAAGTTCATAAATAAGTTCGAAAATGCCGTTATCTATCAAGATTGCAGCGGCTATGAGTTATTCTAGAGTTTGTATTTTTAACTTTTAAATGGTTATATACTCAATAATGACACAATAAACAAATCTTTTATTTATTTATGTATAAAACTATTAATTTGTCTAATTCTGAAAAACACTATTCCAAAATCCTAAATTTTTCAGAATTTTAAACCACGAAAATCTAAATTCTCGAAAATCGACAAAATTTATATTTTGCTAGAATGTAATAAAATTAAAAAAATAAATATCTTCGCGCGATTAATGTTAAATGTATTAATGTTAAATCACATTTTGAGGAAATTGGAAATTCACTCCTAATAATTGTATGATCATTAAAATATTTATTTTAGAACTATACAGTAATGGTAAAAATGGAAACAAATATCGAATGTAGATGTAATGTACAAACGATGACGGTAATGATCGAAAAACCAACGCATATGGTGTTTCTATATGGTAAATAAATAAATGTAGTGCAATTGTCTTAATACCGACGATTATACATAAATTTATAACTGTTCTTACAAAAAGTTCCTACAAAAATCTTGCGCGATACAATCTAAATGCAATGTGGCACGTACATAATTCATGAAGAATTTCGTCATTGTCGTGCTGTATCGAAAGAAAAAGAGAATCCAAAAAATTAGACTCAATAATAGTGCTTGATGACCGCCGAGAGAAGTGCCAGAGACAGTTCTAATTAATCGTACACTTAATTATAATCCTACCAATCATAAGGAATAATAATATTAAATGATTCAAAATGGATTATGGTGTCATGGCTTATCATGAATCTTGTTGATTGCGATTGCTCTGTGTTCGATCGACCGCCCTGTGATATTCTTCCATCAGATACTTTTTGTATTTTATCTGATTGTTCCACAGCTCCGCCGCTTCGAGATTAAGCGGGCTCTCGTTGTTGGGCTCTACATAATAGATTATAAATATAAAGCAAATTGTGTTGCCCATAGTATTAAATATTAATTCATATCGTAACAATCCACTTTTTATTCATTACTTACCACCAAGTAGGGACTGTATGGAGAGTAGAATCGTGCGGACGTCATACAACGCGCTCCACTTGTCCTTCAATATGTCTAGGCAAATGTTACCGCCGGTATCTACATTTGGATGGAAGCAAGGCGTAGCGAAGCGTACTATGGGAGCACTATACGGATAGCTATGTGGAAATTCTAAGGTCAATTTGTAGGTGAGACCGGCGTATACCTGCGACAGATAAAAGTTTCACTAGATAACTTTTTGTTACATTAGAAGCATTAAAAAGCGACGTCTAACAATGAGACGCAAACTTTAAGATTTAAGAAAATTGACCAATCGCTATCGATCGTTCCCCTTTTCATGAATCGTAAGATAAATAATCGACTATGATTGGTCAATTTTCTCAAATCTTAAGTCTTGAAAGTCACACTGTAGACCTAACGCAACGTAATCTAAAGTAGAGTGGGTCTAGCAATCGTAATCTAAAGTAGAGTGGGTCTAGCAATAAGATAGAGAGGGAATTCTACCGTATCTCTTGGTCTAAGATAGAATGGGAATCCTACCGTATCTCTTGGTCCTGTGATAGTCCCGATCCACTTGAACAAATTCTCTCCCTCTGGAAAGGCGGATACTCCATGCTCGCTGCTCATCATCAGCACCATGAGCTCCTTCTGCAACCTGGACGAACGTAAAAAGTAAATGCAAATGTTTTCATGCGATTTGAAACAATAACCTCCAGGGGACGAGTTTACGAGGCGGCGCGCCACGGCGGGGCGTCGTAAAGTCGGGTCTCCCGACGGGAGAACAACTTCCCTGACGGTTCGCGCTCAAGATCGAAGCAAGCGTCCCAGCTCGCTGTAGGTTATGTGACTGCAGCGAGCGAACAAAGCGATATCGATTGCGCCGCGGATTCCGCGAATAGGCGTTCCGTTTCCGGGAAAAATTTCGAGGGCCTCGCGAACGGGATTGGGATTCGAGCGAAAACTCGCCAGTCAGCTCTCCCGCTTAACTCGATTTCGCGTTACCGTTTGCTGACTGCATGATTGTCCTTCGGCAAGCTCTGCTTCTCCTCGGCGGCCTTAGTCGGCGTGTTCTGCATCGAGCTGAACGGGTTCACGTTCTGTGCCATCCTGAGGGCACCCTCGCGGGGAGGGGGGAGGGTAGTCTTCGCGTTTTCCTGGGGGGAGCCGAGACGAGTCCGGGCGAGAAGTGTCTAGTCTTCACGGAGCACGAGCGACGGTCGCAACACTCTCCCCGTTCCTCTCTCTCTCTTCGACTCCGACCACGATTGACGGTCACAACAGCACGGCGGAAATTTGAATGCTGCACGGAGGCGGGGGGGCGGTTTACTGCCCGGCTCGAAAACATCGGGCGGCAAAACAGCTGTTGCGCCGTTGGGCGGCGCCGCGTCGCGGCGGATTCTCTCGTCTCTCGTGTCTCTCGTCGGCCCCCCCCGTTCACGTCGTTCACGCGGTTTTCGCGTCGCGTGTTTTACGCGGCGACGGACGGGCTATTCGAGTCCGTGATACCCCGGGATTCGCGACACTCGCGCTCGAGCGTTCGCGAGACATTGCGGCCCTCGTGTAGTCTCAGTCCCGGTCGCGTTCCGGGAAAATCCGGGAGCAGCGGTCTCGCGATGTGATCGATAACGACTCCGTCGTCGCGGGAATCTTGTTCTCGGAATTGTCGATGCGCTCGGAAACGGCGAGGAGATGGGACTTCGTGGGATCGGCGAGAGACGGACATACGGGATAGCGTGATCGCGCTGTGAGGTATCGATCGAGAGAGTCGACATCTTTTTTTTTCCCCTCACCTTCTCCCCCCCC